GAAAATGAAAGTTTTCACCTAAATGTCCGCTCTGTTTCAAAAGTTCCCYACWTCCACACCAARRCWAGTAGCGTCGGGAAATTTGCGTTTTCMAGCTAGTCAACACTCAAACCTTGATCAAAATTGCAACAAAAGAAAAATTTWRRAAGTTGAAATCTTCATAGTCAATTGACCCATAAAATTGCAAWTTTTTTGATGGAAATCCGGTAAAATCCCGATTTTTCRAGCTTATTCTGTWAACAAACAGTCGAKAATTCTTGTTTGCTCCAAACTAAGACCCACTTTTGCTACGCAAAATCGCAAGGAAATGTTACGGATGCAAAACCGATTTCAGAACGTAGTGAACATATCGGACCCGTATCCCATTACAAAAGTGCCATAATTCAGCCACCAATCACTATTTTTCTCGGTAAATAATCCAAACAATTCATTATGACAATAAATCAGATTTTTTCCTTTTACTCAGCACATTAAACGTGAGGTTGAGCCGAAGCGGCCCAGGCCGGCACCACCGCACCACGCCCGGGCCTGGATATCGGATCCACAATAGTCGATAAATCTATTGTTTATCGGAACGAGTTGCCAGTTCGCTAAACTGTCGATATAAATCAGAAAACCGATCAGATTTACAGCGACTAATCGGACAATAATTGCCTGCTTTATTGTTGGCTCAACAGTGAACGCATTCAATAGATTTTCAACCGGTCAGAAGGAGATTACTGATTTTCAGTGATTTATTTCAAGAATTCAACAGCAAATTTTAGAAGAAAATATTTACGTTAAGAGATATTTTAGGGAATTACCGGCGTCGTCCACCGAATTAAATAAATCAAGAAGTCAAATTCAGCCAGTCCAGAAGCTTTTTAGCTTTTTAATGTTTGCACTTTTTTAATATGCAGCTACAAACCAGGGCAAGTCCCTAGCAACTTGAAAGTTTCACAGGCTCTTGGCAACAGTTTCGATTTAAGATGCTGAAGGTTTTGTTCAAATCCCGATACAGCTTTGTTTCTGTGCATTTTCTAAAAGTCTAAAAGTTTCCAGCCTGATATTTGCTCCGTTCGGATGTACAATTTCTAAACAACAACAAACTCGAAGATTTAACGACTTCGAAAAATTTGCAACTTCCGTACAAAAGCCAGTAGACACCTAAAACTTGCAGAATCTAGAGTCAACACCCAAAGCTTGAAATTCTCATACTTTCGGTGAAACATATTGAGATTTTCATCTTCAAGTTTAAATGTAAACTTGATTTTTGCTCGCTTGGTAAGTGCACGTCTCACAATCGCTTTTATTCAAAAAGTTATTAAACTTCCAAACGAAAGCAAGTCGAAACTTGAAACTTGCAGCGCCTTTTCCTTTGCAAACAACTCGCTGGAGCACGTAGCGACTTGAAATTATCACAGGCCATTGCCCACACGTAGGCTTAAAATGCAAAAAAATGTTCATGAAAATTGCAAAAAACCGACTTATTGAACGCTATTTTATAAAAATAAAAATGTTGTAACTTCAAAAAAGTGGTAACTTCCAAACCAGTGCAAGTAGAAACTTGAAATTTTCATGCGTCAACACAGTCAACGCGTGAGCCTTGAACTTCTGAAATTACAATCGAAATCTCATAAAGCCCTGATTTTTGCTAGCTTTGTGAATGCGAATTTTCAACTGACTCCACTCAGATGTTAGCTTTTTTCAAAGAATTCATAGCTTCCGAACTAGTGCAAGTACAACCTTCAAAATTTCACACTCTATTGCCTACAAAAATCACACAAACTCGTGATTTTTGCGCATTTTGTAAATGCGAGCCTTGAAATATTGCTCTCCAATCGAATGTTCGGTCTCTTCAAAAAATTCCTAATTTCCAAACGAGTTCAAGTAGGAACTTCAAAGTTTCACAGTCAATTGCTAACGCATGAGCCTTGAATTTGTAGAATTATAAACGAAATCTCATGAAGATCTGATGTTTACTCGCTTTGTAAACATGAATTTTGTTCTGAATGATCTGATGATTGATGAAAATCTTCGTCAAAAGTATCGGAACTTTGAAACCAGTTCAAGTAGAACTTAATTTTTTCCAGTCCAATAATCATAGTCGAATTCACATGAAGTGCTGATTTTTGAGCGCTTTGTAAATGCGAGTCTTGTAACGAAACTTTCCACTCGAAATTTGATCTCCTAAAAAAATTCGTAACTTCTAAACCAGTGCAAGTAGAAACTTGAACTTTCACGCTATATTGCCAACACGTGAGCTTTGAACTTGTAAAATTGTTACTAAAGCCAAATAAACTCCTGATTTTTCCGTGCTTTGTAAATGTGAGTCTTCAAATAATACCCTTCAATCGAAATTTGCTCTGTTAAAAAAAATCGTTACTTCCAAACGAGTACAAGTAGAAACTTGAAACTTTCACACTCTACTGGTAACACGTGAGTCTTGAACTTGTAAAATTGCCATTGAAATCAAATAAACTTCTGATTTTTCCGCGCTTTGTAAGTGTGAGTCTTCAAATAATACTTTTCAATCAAAATTTGCTCTGTTCAGAAAATTCGTAACTGCCAAACGAGTACAAGTAGAGACTTGAAACTTTCACACTCTACTGGCAACACGTTAGTCTTGAACTTATAAAATCGTCATTTAAATCAAATAAACTCTTGATTTTTTTGTGCTTTATAAATCTGAGTTTTCAAATAATACTCTTCAATCAAAATTTGCTCTGTTCAAAAAAATCGTTACTTCCAAACGAGAACAAGTAGAAACTTGAAACTTTCATACTCTAGTGGCAACACGTGAGCCTTGAACTTGTAAAATCGTCAGTTAAATCAAATAATCTGCTGATTTTTTTGTGCTTTGTAAATCTGAGTTTTTAAATAATACTTTTGAATGGAAATTTGCTCTGTTCAAAAAAATCGTTACTTCCAAACGAGTACAAGTAGAAACTTGAAACTTTCATACTCTAGTGGCAACACGTGAGTCCTGAACTTGTAAAATCGCCATTGAAATCAAATAAACTCCTGACTTTTTATGCTTTGTAAATCTGAGTTTTCAAATAATACTCTTTAATCGAAATTTGCTCTGTTCAAAAAATTGGTTACTTCCAAGCGAGAACAAGTAGAAACTTGAAACTTTCATGTTCTAGTGACAACACGTGAGTCCTGAACTTGTAAAATCGCCATTGAAATCAAATAAACTCCTGACTTTTTGTGCTTTGTAAATCTGAGTTTTCAAATAATACTCTTTAATCGAAATTTGCTCTGTTCAAAAAATTCCAAGCGAGAACAAGTAGAAACTTGAAACTTTCATATTCTAGTGGCAACACCTGAGTCCTGAACTTGTTAAATCGCCATTGAAATCAAATAAACTCCTGACTTTTTGTGCTTTGTAAATCTGAGTTTTCAAATAATACTCTTTAATCGAAATTTGCTCTATTCAAAAAATTCGTTACTTCCAAGCGAGAACAAGTAGAAACTTGAAACTTTCATGTTCTAGTGACAACACGTGAGTCCTGAACTTGTAAAATCGCCATTGAAATCAAATAAACTCCTGACTTTTTGTGCTTTGTAAATCTGAGTTTTCAAATAATACTCTTTAATCGAAATTTGCTCTATTCAAAAAATTCGTTACTTCCAAACGAGAACAAGTAGAAACTTGAAACTTTCATACTCTAGTGGCAACACGTGAGTTGTGAACTTGTAAAATTGCCATTGAAATCAAATAAACTCCTGACTTTTTGTGCTTTGTAAATCTGAGTTTTCAAATAATACTCTTCAATCGAAATTTGCTCTGTTCAAAAAAATCGTTACTTCCAAACGAGTACAAGTAGAAACTTGAAACTTTCACACTCTACTGCCAACACGTGAGTCTTGAACTTGTAAAATCGCCATTGAAATCAAATAAACTCCCGACTTTTTGTGCTTTGTAAATCTGAGTTTTCAAATAATACTCTTCAATCGAAATTTGCTCTGTTAAAAAAAATCGTTACTTCCAAACGAGTACAAGTAGAAACTTGAAACTTTCACACTCTACTGCCAACACGTGAGTCTTGAACTTGTAAAATCGCCATTGAAATCAAATAAACTTCTGATTTTTCCGCGCTTTGTAAATCTGAGTCTTCAAATAATACTTTTCAATCAAAATTTGCTCTGTTCAAAAAAATCGGTACTTCCAAACGAGAACAAGTAGAAACTTGAAACTTTCATACTCTAGTGGCAACACGTGAGCCTTGAACTTGTAAAATTGTCATTGAAATCAAATAAACTCCCGACTTTTTCGTGCTTTGTAAATCTGCGTCTTCAAATGATACTCTTCAATCGAAAGTTGCTCAGTTCAAAAAATTCGTAACTTCTAAACCAGTACAAGTGGAAACTTGAAATTTTCACAGTCCATTGCTAACGCGTGAGCCTTCAACTGTTAAAATTATAATCGAAATAACATAAGGTTCTGATTTTTGCGCGCATTATAAATGCGAATTTTGAAATAATTTTTCCCCTCAGCTGTTGGCTCTCTTCAAAACATTTATTACTTCCAAACTGGTACAAGTAGCAACTGGAAATGTTCACCATCTACAGCTAACACTTGAAGTTAAAAACCCGAAATGTTTTCATTAAAATCCCATTAAGTGTCGATTTTTGCCAACCATGTAAATACGGGTTTCAAAATAAAAGTCTCCAATAAATAATCTGAATTGAAATCCCGTCAGTGAGTTTATTTTTACAGTTTAAATGCAGCGAGGATGTTGAAAACTTCACCTGGCTTTAACGCGATGATTTATGCGATCAAGTGTTTTTTTTTGTGCGGATGAATCCAGAGTGAAATGAGCCTTAATTCATCGGGGCTTAACTTTCAGACTGAATGTTGAATTATGTCGGCTCTATTTCGGTGTGCGATAAGCAGTGGGAAAAACAACCAAACCCACTGTTAATTACCAGCTAGAATCGCTTAAGTGTTCGGTAATTTTCAGGCTTTTTCGATGGAAAAAAAACTGTTGATAAAACGCCTCAATTTGTTGCAGGATTTGCTCAACAGCGATCTGCACAAAATCAAGTCGGAGCCTGATGTGGGGGATTATCCATTACCGTCACTTTCCACCACTCTGTCCCTTCATCCACATGGTAAGTCGCTGCGGATTATTTACCTACTAAAGACACTTAACCTGCGCCTTCAATCGAGTGAACTTTTGTCAGCTAATTAACTCGATTTCGAGGGTGTTTAGTTACAATTGCTGATCGAAATGCACCTGAAATCCATCCGGCAAATGGCTCATTAAAGCGCTACATGCCGGCTCGATTCAGCCCCGGGGGCTCAACAGCGTTACTCAATCCGCCCCAAATTAATGGGGGGCATCGAGCCTACCGAGCGGGCGTGGCTAATTAGGCTAAATGGGGGGCGAATATTACCCTTATTTACGCCGAACGTTGATGAGCAAAGTCTGTTTCTGCGGATTTTTTTCCTGCAATCTTCCTCTAGTCTAGTACGTAGTGTGGCGCCCGATTGACGATAAAACGCTTATCAGTCAGCACTAGAATGCTCCAGAAGGTCAATGCAAATCAATGAATTCGGCTAAACCGAAAATTTGCCCCCGGATTTTTCCTACGCTCCTCGATAAAGGATATTTACGGTCAAAAAGGACGCGATCCTGATTAAAACAGTTCAGGTTTTTACCAGTGTATGTGGACCTCAAACTTGCATTAGTTCACTGACGTGACGCCCATGTAAAACAACTTGCAATTTTTTCGCTTCAATTACTATTTGGATAACGCGCTTTGTGATAGCTTCCGACCTTAGAAGACAAGATAATTCCAGATCGGTTGATTAAACCAGGGCTGGAGCTCGGATTTGCTTGAGAAAAATCGCGTGTTTAATGTTTTCGACCAATTGTTTTGTCAACTAGTGCGAATATTAGCACAACATCCACTAATTGCTGTGTTTGGGCTTGGGGCTTTCGAACATCTATTTTCGAACTATCATCAAAGTTAATGTTAATTTCACTTAGTCATTGTTGTTGATTATTGGACGGTTTGCGTCCCTGAACATTTCAAGTTCCTTCAACGGACAGGGTTTTCTAATAACGCCCCGTATTTTCAATACATTTTTACATTGAAATTTCAGTTTATGAAAAGTTCCTACTGGATTGAAGACGGAGATTTCAATTCGAAATGTTTTTCCTTACGGAAGTCGAATCAAATTCATATGTATATCCAAAGTTAACCAGCTTGGTTAAGCATTGTTTTGCAAAATTGTCGTGAAAAACTGCACTTTAGCTGCGGATTTTTTCCCCGTTGCACTGAAAATGTTCGTGATTTTTTAAAATTTTTCAAAAATTGCGCTCTCCTTTCATGAGTTCCACTTTACAGCAGATAGAAAGCAGGCATAAAACATTCAAGTGCGCTTTTTTTAAATTCTTGACTTTTCAATTAAGGCAAGCAACAGCTTGAAACTTCTGCAGTCAACTGCAGTCGTTTAGAAAAAGTTTTGCTTAAAATCGTTTTACAATTACAAAATCCTAATACAAACAAGTCTCGGATTGAACGCGAACGCTTTCGATCCAGACGCGTGCTCTCTTTAAAAATTCGAAACTTGCAAAATAGGACAAGCAACAACTTGAAAACTTCACAGTCTATGACGAGTACTGCAAGCTTGAAATGCAAAAAAAGTAATCAAAATCGCAAAAATACTGATTTTTTCGAACCGTGTAAATATGAGACTGGATGTGAATGTTTATACCCAGATGTGCGCTCTCTTTCAAAATTTTTTATCTTCCAAACTGAGATCGGAAGAACGTGGAACTTCGTCTAGTTGATAGGAAATACTTAAAACTTCGACTCCTCAAACTTTGAATAGAATCACCGTAAATTTGAAGTTTTTTCACGGTTTCTAAATGTAAGCCTCAAATAAATATGCGATCCTTTTCAAAAAATCGTAAACTTGAAGTTTAAGTTGTGCGGCCTATAGCAAAAACTTTAAGTTTAAAACCGTTGACTGCAATCGCATTAAATCATCAGTTTTGCGCCCGTTGTGAATGCAAGTGTCAAACTAAAGATGTTTATACAGATGTTTTCTCTTTTTCGTACTTTTTGCAAACGTGCAACTTTGAAAGTTTGGCAAGTTGTGACTTGTTCCCATTTAGAAATGTTCCTATTCCATAGCCAACAAGTATCTTCAATTTTCTTAAGAATTAGGCAAAACCCTTTCTTTGCGGTTTCTGAGCGCTTCGTAGTTGCGAGTTTAAAAATAAATTACTTAATCCAGAGTCGCTTTTTTAAAAAAATTGCAACTTTCAAAATAAGACACGGAGCGATTTGAAATTTTCACAGTTTATAGGCAGCGTTTTACTCTTAACTCCCTAAAACGTGCAATCACGTGGCATTAATTCCCGATTTTTGCGCCTATTGTATATGAGAGCCTCAAAATTACCGCTGCAGATTGGCTTTTGCTAAAACTTGCAAACTGCAAAGTTTCTCAAGTTGTGATTTTAAATTAGCACAGTCAGTAGTCAACACTTGGTCCTTAAGTGGCAGCAATTTTCAACAGTTTCGTATAAAATCCTGATTTTTGCGTTCTTTGTAAATGCGGGCCCCAAAATCGATGTTCCCACTCAGATACCGACTCTCTTTTAAAAATTCGTAACTTTTCAACTAGAGCAAGTAGAAACTTCAAACTTTCACATTCTAAAGGTGAAACACATACAGTATGAAACCGTAAGACTTTCAATATCTTTGCAAGAAATCTTAATTTTTGCGTCCTTTGTAAATGCGACTCTTAGGAGGAATGCTCCAACCTAGATGTTCGCTCTCGTTTAAAAGTTGTAATTTTCATAACAGCACAAGCAGCAACGTAAAAGTTCTTCCAATCCATAGGGAACAATTGAAACTTGAAATGCTCAAGTTGAATAAAATCGCATGGAACTTTAACGTTTTGCCTTTTGTAAATCCGAGTCTCCAAAATATTGTTTTGGCCCTTTGTTCCTTAAAAATCCAAACTTGCAAACTAAGGGAAGTAGCGACTTGAAAATATCAAGATCTATAGCAAAAAATTGAAGTTTCAAACTCTGAAAATGTTCATGTAACTGCATTTATTCCTAATTTTTGGGCCGCTTGCAAAAGCGACTGGCGGAATGAAGATTTTCATGCAGGTGTTCGCTCTTGCAACTTGCAAAGTATGACAAGTGGTGACTTGAAATTTTCACGCTGAATAGCCAAATTCAGGCTTAGGTAACTGCAATTTTCCTAAACGTAACTTGAAATGCCGATTTTTGCGTCCTAAGAGTTTGGGGAGTGTGCTTTCTATTAAAATTTAGTTAGTTCCATTACAGGACCAATGGCAACTTGAAACAAGTCCTGCTAATCCATAGCGAACACTTGAAACTTCAAATTCTCAAACTTCCAACGAAAGCTTTGCAAATGCGAATTTTCAACTGACTTCACTCAGATGTTCGCTCTTTTTAGATAATTCATAACTTCCAAACTTGTGCAAGTAGCAACTTGAAAGTTTCACGATCTATCGCAAGGAGTTGAAGTTTCAAAGTTGTAAATTTTCAATGTAGTCGCATCAATTCCTGATTATTTCGTCCTTTGTAAAATTGAGTCTCAAAATTAATGTTTAAACCCAGCTGTAGAGTGTCTCTTCTTGAAAACTCTGAAATTTAAAAAACGAGGCAAGCAGCAACTTGAAACTTTCACCGTCAATTGCGACCACTTTGCGCTTAAAATTCCGATAWTTKCARTAAAATCGCGTTGAATYCTGATTTTTCGCCWTTTGTRAATGTAAMGTCTCGMAATMAATATATATWTTTTAAGTTGCAACTTTCAAAGTRTGACAAATCGTGACTTGAAATGTTCATTTTATAYCCAAACATCTAATACTCARAAAACAAATTTTAGCATAACAWWTTGCGTTYTTTGAAAAATKAATGGTTCAACCCCGATGTTCGATTTCTTTTTAAAATTCGCAACTRCGCAACAAGTACACGCAGCAACTGRAAAGCTTTGCAGTGTGTAACAAACACTTCAAGCTTAAATTTCGAAAATATTCATTAAAATCGCCATTAACATTGATCTTTGAGCTCTGCTGYRAMTGCGAGTATCARWTCAACTGTGTCTATACCCARAGATGCCGCTCTATTTTAAACTTGAGAATTTTTCTAAATTGAACAAATGGAGCATCCTAATCCATAGCAAACTTTAATTTTTCAAACTTTCAATGAAGCCAAACTCATTTTTTTACTGTGTATAAATGCCTTGTAAAATAAGTGTGGCCATCCAGATGTCTGCTCTTTTTTGAAACATAACGTCCAAACTGGGTCARGTMGCAACTTRAAWGTTTCACAATATATAGCAAGAAATTGGGGCTYCAAACAGTGAAATTTTCAATAYAATCKCAARCAAACCTGATTTTTGATTTTWGATCCCTTGCAAATGCRGGTTTCACAAATCATGCTTCATTACRTATGTGCGCTCTCTTTTAAAAATTCGCAACTTTAMAACTAGCACAAGCAGAAACTTGAAATTCTCACWKTCMAA